CCTAACCCTAACCCTAACCCTAACCCTAACCCTAACCCTAACCCTAATGGAGAGAGACTAAAAGGTGATTTGAATACAGAGCAAAACCTGGCAGAGAGAGGAGAAGCATGTTCATAGCCACAGAGCCAGCTGGAGGAGAAGCTGGACTCAGACCAGAGCTACAGACTTCTTAAGCATAAACAGAAAATGACAGGACCAGATCACAGGAGTCAAAGAGGGAAAGTCAGAGTTGAAAATACAAGAAGTGGAACCGTGTTTTGGAGGACTGACACCTGACACTGGCAGAAAGGGTGTCAAAGGTGATCAGGCTTGTTCTGTGGATAGGCTGGTATTGATGAGACCCTAAATATTATATCAAGAGGTGTGAATGTAACTCAGAAGTGGACACAGAGCTCTAGGTTACATTTAAGTTGAAGAAGGACATAGTCAGACCTGGGCATCCAGTATCTGGGTCTGGTCATTAGAAAGGGATGTGAGAGATGTCAAAATCAAGTAAGGCAAGAAAACTCAAAGCCCCAAGATAATGCTCAGGAATGGAGAGAGAAGAGATAGAAGGAAACAGAGATGTAAAGGCACCAGGAAAAAAGCAGAATCAGAAAGTGCTGATGGGAAGGGGTTCCGGAAAACAGAAAACCACTTCTCCTTCCTTTTGAAGAAGCAAGATTATTACTTGAGAGCAGAGCTGGACAGGACAAGACTTCCAAAAAATCAGGAAGGAAGGAAAGAGCTCTGAGCATGTGCCTATGCTACAAGCCACACTCCCAAAGCATGTGATCAACTGCTTCCATGATGATACCCCATCTGCTGTGAGCATTTCCTCAGAACAGGTTTCTGGGGACCTCGTAAAGTCTTTTCCTTCACAAATCCAGTACCCTGAAACTGAGACCCCCAAAGCTAGTCGTGAAAGACAGGGAAAAATGTGATGTTGTTCCTCATACTATAAACAAAGAAACTAATGACTAAAGAGGTCCACTTGACAAATATCACAAGGAATGCAAGCCAGGTTTCAAAGCCAGGACCTTCTGTGTAGATACTGCCTGAATTAGAGAAAGACTAGCAGAGGGTCTAAAGAAAAATAAACTCCATTTCTGCCCTCCTATCTTGTCACTATGTCCCCTGAAGGAAGGCATGGAACTCCATGGTTCAGCCATCCCTTGGATGCATGCACACAACTCAGCTTCCAGGATAAAGCATAGAGCAGAGGGCTCTAGGAAGCTGATTGGGGGAGCATAGCACTCCAACAGCTTGGTTTTAGTAGGTCCAAGGGTCTGGCTATCCCTCCCTACAGAGGCAGATCAGAGAAACCCAGGATTTGCTCATGTAGCAGGGGATGGCTTGCTTGTTCCTAGAAGGGGAAGTCCCCACAGAGGCCAGGGCTCTGCCTCCACCCAAAGTTGGCCAGCATCATCACCACATTCCCTTCTTCCTTCCTCATTCCCCTCTGCCTCATAGTCTCTATCAGTGAGTTCAAAATGCAAAAATCTCTAAAGGATCCACTTCTGACAAGGCAGCATATCAGGCCTGGTTCTCGTAAGGACGGAGGCCAACTGATGCCTGCAACAGCATCAGCTGTCCACGCATGGGCTGCAAGCCCTTTCCACCCTCCCTGCCAGCCTGGGACATAAAGGTCTGGCAGCCAGTGAAAAGGAAAGCTCCTATCTCTGACTCCTCAGAGGCTCTGATAAGAAATGTCATCCCTGGCTGTGTAATATTACTCTGCCAGATAAGGATCTCTATCTCCTCCAACATATGGCTAGCTACAGAACACAGGGCCTGCTGGAGCAGGATAATTTATTTGTTTAAGCTGCAAACCCTGGGAGGTCTGTGAAATGCAGTGAACAGAAGAAGGGCCAAATTCTATCCTCTTTTGAGCTGGTCTTAGGATTCCTCCCTGAGAATGACAGGAACCTCCTCTGCTATCCACACACAATAAGCACTTTTACCTCCTGAGGCCCCTAAAGGGCACTCACACCAGTGTTATCACAGCTTATCCTCACCAGGACCTCCAAAGATGCATTTTAGTCTACTTTCACAAATCAGGAAATTGAGATTCAACAAGGGTAAGTAACATGGCCAAGGTCACCCAGCCAGCCATACCAGAGCACAGGTTCAAACACCAATAGGTCTGACTTACCAGCACACTGTCAGATGGGGAGGCTGAGCCCAGTCTCTGGGTTGGCTCTGCTCCAATGGCTAAATTAATCAATTAAGTTAGATCTGCCTGACTTAACTGTCAATGTCAGCTCCACACTGTAATCTCAAAAGTCCATTTTGACTCATTCGCTGCTCCCGGTTTTTCAGCAGCCTGGAGAGGATGAGGAAGATAATCAAGGAGAGGAGGGGAGGTCAGGGATGAGACCAGAAGAGGAAGGAGAAAGGAGAGTGAAACTTAGCCACCAGCTTCATACATTCAAGGAGTGGAAGGTAGAAGGAAATTGTAGGAAAATCCTCTCTTCTCTGTTCATTCATTCTTCATTCATTAATATCCCCGGACAATCTATTATATGTCTGGTCTGGCTTGGCCCTGGTAATATCACTGTATCTGTAAGCAGTGCTGGCCCAGGCTTCATGGAATGATTGTTGAGCTAGGAGTGACTGACATGTCATCAAAGAGGCAGAGGTAACAGTACATGCCATGGGTACTTGTGCCTGCAGTAGATCACACAGCTGATATGAAGTCAGTGGCTGTGTGTTAATGAGCAGCTGTTAGCAAACCTCGCACTCTGCTATTTGATACCCAGCTTTAAAAAGAAAAGTCAACATTTCTAAGGTTGATGTCGTGCTTTGATAGAATTACCTCAACAATATTCCCCATCAGTTCATGAACTCATTAGTAATACAACTGAACAATTTTAATTGACAAATAAAAATTACATATATTTATAGTATATATTATATATATGTGTACCTTGTGTTCATCTAGGCTTAACTATATGCATAAACTCATACACTTATCTTTTCTAGCTGATTTTTTTGAATAGCTATTTACGGCATCCATTTTTATAAAGATGTTCAATTTAATAACCACAACTAATGAAACTGAAGCAGGAAGTTACCCAGTATTGAGCTGGGCAATCTCCAGGAGCTGCTTCAGTTCCTTGGGGTGCCAAGACATCTTTCGGGTAACCTGAAGGACAGATGACATTAAAATACTCAAAAGTACCTGAATCATCACATTTGTAGCACCTCTCTTTGGCCCATTGAGAAGTAAGTAAAAGGCTTAAAAGAACAACAAATTCAGTATCATGGGTGGATCACTTATGGGAAAAAAAAAAGCACTAATATGGATTAGGGGTGGGTGACTGGTTCTAATTTCAGTCTTTCTTACTACTCTCATATAACCAAGATGCCATATAGTTTTGGGACCTCAGCTTATCCAATGGCAAAGGGAAAGAAGAATGGACCTGTCAGACAAGGTTCATTTTTTTAGGTCAAACTGGAAATTTGAAGGCCACACTGAAGAGTTATTTAAACTGTTGTCTAGGCCTCCTGGAACTGCAGAAAATGAAACAAACTTTAATTGCAGTTTTCCATCAATTTTTACACAAAAGGAGAGAGAGATTAAGGAGCAGTCATACCGGCCATATAAAAGCTTCCCTCAGGCCCACCACACGGGTGGCAGCAAGGGGTCCAGGTGGGGCGGGTGATAGGGCAGGAGCTCAGGGTGTGACAGAGGGCTGCCCATGGAGACATTCAGATAGGCTATGCTATCTGGAAACAATAGAACCGTTGTTCTGGACCTGAATCTGACAAGAGGGGATAAGACCCCCGGAAACCCAACCCGAGATAACTAGCCAGGGTGGCCTCAACACACCAGCCCCAGCATGTCTGTTGCTTCATTTATGCCATTCATTCATGCACCTTTACAGTGTATATCAAGCACATACCAAGAATTGTGTTAGAAGGTGGGGATGTGGTGATGAATGAGACTCTCAGTTCCCACCCTCAGGAAGCACAAGGATATGAATGGCTCATAAAGACCCA